GGAATTAGAAGTGGGAAGTGAGAGTGGAAATTGGGAAGTGTGTATGGAAAGTGAGTGTGGGAAGTGAAAGTGGCAAGTGGAATATTTCATCGAATATAGAAAAAGAAAAATTCTCTTTTTGATAATTATCTGGATTTTTTATATATTTTCAAAGATTAAGTGAACTTTACAAAAAAAAGGTTAATTTTATACAAATTTTTTTCATTTCGCTTATACATAGTTATGAGTAAAGAGAATGCTTTTATGATTTTTAAAATTTAGAGCATGATATTTATATTTTTTAATGATAATGTCATTAAATATTTATTTTGATTCGGAGCCTGTGTGTTTAAAATGAAGCTTTTAACGACTTATGGAATTTTATAATATTCATGATATTATATATTTTTCAACATTTTTAATGAGGAAATACATAATTAATAAATAGAGGATAACTACAGCTTCTTTTCTCTCTTGATAATTTAAAAAAAAAATTAAATTAACAATATCTTTTGGCTTCACAAACGAAAACTCTTTTAATTAAAATAAAATATTATAAATTTTACCTTATAATTCTATCGAGGTTAAGATTCTCATAATTAAAAAATTAATTATTCTAAGTATAAATAAGTAAATTTTTCATTTAAAACATTTAGAGAATTTAATTTAACTTTCAAATTTAAAACTTTTAGTAGTGAATATTTCTGAATAATTTTTTTTTGTTTGTGAAATGTACTTTTTTGCTCTCTGATAATAATTTAAAAAGAAAATAATTTATGCAAAAGGAATGAATTATTTAATTATGACTGCAAAAAACAAGGAGTAGCAAGTTTCCAACGAATTAAATAATTTTTAAAGCTTCGATAAATTGAAATTTCTATTTTTCGTATGGAAATCAAAACCCAAAAGGTACAAAATATTACATTTAAGTTTAAAAGCTTAATTTTTAAAAATTTCGTCCGCCATATTGGATCCGCCATTTTGAATTTTGAAAAACTAAGTGCATTGTCTTATTGGCTAACGACAGTATTTGCAGTTACTATTCTACATGTAAAACGACTGCAGATTTACAATAAAAATTATTTTTCCTTCTCGCGTAGATTTTTTTATCAAGATTTATTAAGAAGTTAACATCGAACCTGGAAGATGCATTAGTTTAAGTTGCGGTGACAGTAACCAAAATTGATGACCTGTCAGGTATAGAGATAAGGTTGGAAGTAACTTAGCAATAATTAACCAGAGCCTGACTAGTTATTTCGATCTGAAAATAATTGCTTGTCAGTTATGTTTTGCTGAGTTGCAAAATAATGAGTATCAAGAAAAGAAAACTAATATTTTACTTAAGGTAAATTTTCCATAATAAAAAAATTTTTTTTTGTTAAAATAAATAAAACCGGAAATTACGAAACACTTCTGTTTACTTCACTCATATACATATATAGTTCGAACATGGTGAACAAAAAGCATTTTTTTTAAATTTATTTTCTGGTTCTGTTTTTTACGTGATCCAATAAAATCTCACTAGGTTTTCTTGTTCTGTAAACATGTAGTGCAGAATTTTTTATTATTTTCATTTTTATGATTTTGTATTTTTACATTTTACATTTTACAAATTTTCAATTTGTCAGAAATTGAAAATTATTAATTTATTATTTAGAGTTATTGTTAATAAATTGAAATTGTTAGAACCAATATAGATTTTGGATTAATAACATTATATTTTGCATTTTATGTTTAAAACACAAATTTGCAAATACTTGAAAATTATTAACGCAGTTGATGTGAATAAATTGAAGATTTAGTTAGTAGTCTTGCTCTCCTCTAATTGATAGGGGGAATAATAACAATGCACTGCATGCACCTGATAATTTGGAAGTATTAAAAACGGGTAATTTTTCATCGCTTGCTGTACGAATTTTTCCTTGTTAAGCTGGCAATCAATATTTCATTCTCACAGTGAATGTGAGGGAGGATATTGGCACTCGAGTCATACTTTTGCATTTTACTACAAAAAAAATTCACCGTTACAATAAATATAGTTTTACCATAAAAAAAAATTTAAAAAAAATATTTTAAAAAAATATATGTTTCTAAATGAAAAATTAACTAAATTTTGTCTGCTGAAATTTTTTAAATAAAATTTTGAAATTCTAATAAAAAATACGTAATCAGCGATCATAAAAACCCCCTAGTAGCAAGTTTCAAGTGAATATAATTATTTTTAAATTTTTTTGGCCGCCATATTGGATCCACCATTTTGAATTTTGAAAAGTTGAGATTGGATTCGTAATCAGGTAGATCAAGGAATTTTATTCAGTGGTCACGTGTTCTCGTTCACGTATACAATGGTTGAACGGACACATAATGATATGTTAATAGTAATAATTTGAAAGGATACTCTTTTACGTAATGTAAAAGTTGCGAGGATGGTAATACAACGGCAATTACAGATCCATTATGAGATAGTGAATAATATGCCAATAATTGAGGTTTAAATGCCAAATAACATGTCTGCGATTTATTATCGCAGAGTGTGAAAATACTTCGTTTAATAAATCAGTGTCATAGTTAATGTGATCATTCAAATAAGTTATTTTATCTTTATAAAAAAAAACCTGATTCACATTTTCTATTCCCTTTGGTATTAAATTTATTTTAAAATTACAGTCCCCGCATTTCTCATCGTAACAATGAAAGTAGTATAACTTTTAAAACAAATATTCTATTTAAATTATTTATTGTAATTTAAAGAATAATTGTTGTACTATTTTCTCATTATTCCAACCGCTGCCACCTTAGAAACATTATTTTTAAATTTATTGAAATAAATTATAAACTGCCAGACGGTCGATTCTGTAACTTTTCCACTTTCCACCTCAACTTCCCACTCTCACTTTACACTTTCCACTTCCTCTTTCGCTTCTACTTTCCACTCTCCATTCCACTTCCCACTCTCACTTTAGACTTCCTCTCTCCCTTCTACTTTCCACTATCACTTCCCACTTTCACCCTTCCACTTTCCACTCTCCCATCCACTTCCAACTCTCACTTTACACTTCCTCTCTCCCTTCCACTTCCCACTCTCACTTCCACTCTCACTTTACACTTTTCTTACTTTATCTCTTCCTTACACTTTTCACTCTCACTTCCCACTCTTACTACCCACTTCCACCCTTCCACTTTCCACTCTCCCTTCCACTTCCAACTCTCACTTTACACTTCCTCTCTCCCTTCCACTTCCCACTCTCACTTCCACTCTCACTTTACACTTTTCTTACTTTATCTCTTCCTTACACTTTTCACTCTCACTTCCCACTCTTACTACCCACTTCCACCCTTCCACTTTCCACTCTCCCTTCCACTTCCAACTCTCACTTTACACTTCCTCTCTCCCTTCCACTTCCCACTCTGACTTCCACTCTCACTTCCACTCTTACTACCCACTTCCACCCTTCCACTTTCCACTCTCCCTTCTACTTCCAACTCTCACTTTACACTTCCTCTCTGCCTTCTACTTTCCACTCTCAATTTCCCACTTTCCACTCTTACTACCCACTTCCTCCCTTCCACTTTCCACTCTCACTTCCCACTCCCACCTTCCACTTTTCACTCTTACTTCCCATTTTCACTCTCACTACCCACTTTTAACCTTTCACTTTCCACTCTCACTTCACACTCCCACTTCTCGCTTATTATCTTCTACTTTCACTTCCTAACTCTTCTTTTCACTTTTACGTTCTATCTTCCATTTTTCACACCTTCTTTACACTCACACTTACTTCTCTCTTCCTACCTTGCATTCTTAATATGTTAATCAAGTATTTTCATTTAAAAGTGGGAGTGGTGCGTAAGAGTGGAAGTGGGAAGTGAAAGTATAAAATAAGAGTGAAAATTGAGAGTAGAGTGTGAGAGTTAAAAGTAAAAGTGGAATGTGGGAAGTCAAAGTGGGAGTAAAAAGTGGATTGTGGTAAGTGAGAGTTGAAAGTGGAATGTGAAAAGAGGAAGGTGAGAGTGGAATGTGGAAAGTCAAAGTGGGCGTGGTAAGTTAGAGTGGGAAAGTTACAGAATGTAGGAAGTAAGAGTTGGAAGTGGATGGTAGGAGTAGAAAGTAGGTGTGAAAAGTGGAAGGTGGGAAGTAAAAGTGGGAAATAGAAGTAAGAGTGAGAAGTGGAAGTGTAAAGTGGGAGTGGGAAGTGAATGTGGGAAGTGAGAGTGGAAAGTGGGAGTGGTAAGTGAATGTGGGAAGTGAGAGTGGAAAGTGAGAGTGGAAAGTGGGAGTGGGAAAGTGAGATTGGGAAGTGAGTGTGGGAAGTGAGATTGGAAGGTGAGAGTGGAATGTGGGAAGTCAAAGTGGGCGTGGTAAGTTAGAGTGGGAAAGTTACAGAATTTGGGAAGTAAGAGTTGGAAGTGGGTGGTAGGAGTAGAAAGTAGGTGTGAAAAGTGGAAGGTGGGAAGTAAAAGTGGGAAATAGAAGTGAGAGTGAGAAGTGGAAGTGTAAAGTGAGAGTGGGAAGTGAATGTGGGAAGTGAGAGTGGAAAGTGGGAATGTGGGAGTGGGAAAGTGAGAGTGGGAAGTGAAAGTGTAAGGTGGGAAGTGTAAGGAAGGAAGTGAGAGTGGAAAGTGGGAGTGGGAAATTTTTTTTTAATAAATATACATTTACAAGATGCCGATCGAGCTTTTTTGCATTCACATATAAATTCTATTTCTAAAAATTCATCAAAGTATAAAATATCCACGGGTTTAATACTCGACTATAGTTTTCCAATAAAAATAATAGGTTTCGTTATTTCCACAACAGAATAATCATTTTCAATTTTAGTATATTTTAAATTACCAATAAGGATTGCTTTTCAATTAAAACTATTAAAACAAAAAAAGAGAAATGAACTAAACAACAGAATATAAGTAATTGATATGTTTGTTTTAAAAAAAACAATATGAACAAATATTAAACTACATATTTTTAGAAATACCTGACCATGTAAAGTTACACTTTAATTGCTTTTTGTTTATTAAATTACCTGTTTTCAGTTGAAGCTATTTCTGCCTCATGTTCACCTGTAACAAAAAATATTAAATGGTTATTTCAATTTCAAATAAAAATGTATATTTAATTTAAACATTAAAGTGGGCGAATAAAAGAGTTAAAAAAACAAAGTTGGTTGTAGATTTTTTAATGTAATTAATTTTTTAATTTATTAACAGTTTCAATGAAGTTAAACAGTATTCAGTGTTTGGAATTTTTTTTTATCTACTGTTTAGTATTTTCTAATTTTCACAATTTTTAAGAAGAAATTCTCTCTGCTAGTTTGGGAGTTTCTCGATCAGGTAATATAGCAAGGCGTCTCTTTCAATTTCATTTGAAGCACTGGCGAAATTGAAAGACGTTGTCGTCCAAAAACTTGCTTAGAAGAGGCTCTCTCTATAGCAGATAGGACTTATGAAGAGGATGAAGGAAATTCTAGCGAGTTAAGAAGATGAAACTTCCTTCCGACTTGTCTGGTATAAAGTTGAGCCCAGGGATACATCTAACCGTATATATATATATACGTGAATTCCGTGTAGAAATTGTTTCGTAAACTTTCTCATTCTTTTTCTTATGTTAACAGGTTGATTAAATAATTGTTTATCATTTTTTTTTGCTTCTAAAAACATCAAATCAGTACATACTTTACAGAAATTTTATTTTTCGAAAAAGAATCTACAAAGAAAAATCTACAACAAAATCTACGAAAAAATCTACAAAAACAGTGTTTTATTTTTGACGAGGTTATTGTAATTCTAATTGAGTTTGACGCCTCTTTTTGCAAATGTCATATATTCATAACTTTGCGCTGATGGTAAATTTTTCAGTTTCCTTTTTATAAACCAGTATCATCCTTCTATGTTAATGGGACAAAAATAAGGAGTCGTATTACACTGGATGCCATAAAGTAATATAAACAGATGGCCTGACATAATATTTAGAGAAGAAATGTTATGAGGATGGGTGGAAAAAAATAGTAAGGTAGAAACTAGAAAATAAAGTTAAGGAGAACATTTTTTTTAGAGATGGAAAAAATCACAATGTGTGTCCTAATGCGAACAGATTTTTGCGTCCTCTAAAAAAACATGTTCTACAAATTGTTAACTCTTATTTTAATTCCTTATGACAGTAAATTAATAACCTTATTAGTAAAAAAAAAGTAATTTTATTACTCGCTGATTTTTTTTGGTCACTAATTACTAATCTAATGTAACTTTTCCAAAATTCAAAATGGCGGATCCAATATGGCGGACATTGAAAAATACTTGCGGAAAATAAATTTTATCTCTATTTACACACACAAGCCTTTGTAAATGAGAATTAACTCCCTGGTGTTTAGGAGTTTTTAAGTAATATTTAATTTATGAGTAGCATGAAAAACTTGATGTATGTTTGTTGTGATTATATAATGTAATGAGTTGTATGAGATTTATCATTTACATTAAAATTTTATGAGAATTTACAGTTGTATAAATATTATGAGTGACTGTATGTATATTTACATGTGTTTATAATTTCATGAGTTGAGTGAATAATTAATTTTTAAAAAAGAAATATTAGTTTATTCAAAAAGGAAAACATTAAATATAGTTATACTGTAGTAAAATGATTGCATAATCTATAGAATTTTAATTTCTTTCTATCATACAAGCATTTGTAAATGAGGAATAACTCCGAGAACCCAGGTAATATTTTCTTTCTCCCTACATCGCTTGGAATAGATAAAATTCTAAGACTTGAAATACAATCTCAAGAGATAAGAGTTTTTTCTTACCCCAAATATTAAATAAGTTTTCGTTTAACATTATTCTTAAAAATGTTATCTAAAATTCGTCTAAGGAATTTAATTATATAAAAATTTGTTGAAATACAATAAATTATAATTATAATAAACTGAACTATTAGTTGAAACAATTAGAATCAAACAATTTTTAAATAATAATTATCATTAGATGACGTGACAGTGTTATAATTGTACGATTGAAGATTAGAAGGTAAACAATAATAATATTAATAATCTGTGTTGAGAGATATTACAAAATTTAATAAACCGTTTGGAGGTAAAGTTATTTCGCTTTCAGGAGATTTTAGACAAACTTTGACAATTGTTTCACATGCCACTCGCACTCATATTGTTCAGGTGTGTTTGAAAACGGTAAATTGTGGCAACATTTTGAAACCACGTCTTTACACGTTAATGTGAAATTGAATAACAGTCACAATTTAAAAAAATTATTCAATGTCAGTTTAAATTTTCGTTTGTAAATCATAATTTAAAATTAATTAAACTTAACTTTAGATTACTGTTTACATCAACAGCTGATGTAGAACATTTAAATAAACATCTGCAATATTTTTTTATTTTTCATTTTGGAATCTGTAATTTAGTCAGAGCTCTAGCGTTTTCTAAATTCTAGAAAACAGACTTTAGTGACCACCTTCCTCTTAAAATATGTTAAAAGGGTTACGCCACCCTCAACGCATGAAAATCGGATGGTTTTTTAGGAATTTTTTTTGACGAAACTATTTGAGAGAGGAATTTTTTTACATTTATGACTAATTTAATACATATCTTAAGCTTTATAAATATTTAAAAAAAAATTGTTTTTAATTAAAAATGGCGGAGATATAAGCAATGGCGTGGATCAATTTTTCCGGAGCACTCCTTGATGGTGTACATGATTGACATTTCAATTTTTGTCTGAAACAAGTAAAAATTGGATAAAATTTTTTCAAATTGGAATTGGAATGGAAAGAATGTCGTTCGATTCCTTTTGTTGAGTTCTTTTTAATTTTCTGCCCTCCTTTGTCGCGCTCCTGCGTTCTCAGGTTGGCGATGGATACTCGATGGATCCAACTTGAACGAAAAGATAAAATTGTTTACATTGATCGCGTTTGACATTAAAGTTTATTAATTGGGGAGCACTTCTAATACGTACCAGCAGTATTATATGCGTCTCGAAAGTTTGTGTCAGTTGTGGAGTAATGGGTATTATTAATGGTCTACAGAATTGAGGCGTGACCATTAGGGCAGTAGTTAGTGTCCCCGGGCAGTTCGGAAATCATTCATCGAGGGGTATTAGTAGTAAAAGACTTGTGTACATGTGAAGGTTGTGTGTGTGCGCGCGCACACTCACACCTCCCAACAGCCACGACTCTACGAGACGAGAAACTACAAACCAACCTTCTGACCCGTAGCTCGGGGTCAAACATGCAAAATCCATCCGCACGTGAGCCGCATGCAAACCCTACTCCATGACCCATGTAGACTTCGGGCTTTGCAAGCTTCTCAGATGCGACCACGTCGTATATGCATTATCACTATACGAGACCCCAAACGAAAAAGTGCCTGGGAAAAAGTATTTTCGGTGTCGTCGTCAAAACCACTATTGTTTTCTTATTAAAGTATTAAGCAGTGGTTTCATGAAAAAAATGTAGCCGACGACGAAAGCACGTTTGATTTTGGATGTCGATGAGAGAGGATATTGTGGTTTTGTATAGAATAGTTGTGAGAGTTTTGTTAAGTTGAACTTTGAACATTTTTCGTTTGTTACACGACAAGCAAGAGCGATTAAAGTTTTATTAATAGTTGTATTATTGACTACATCGTTTCTTTCATTAATGTTGTGCTTATTGTTAAGCACAACAAAGTTGTAAATACAAAAAAGGTGGTCCGAAAATAAATGAATTTGGTAAGTGTATTTTTCTGTTTAAGAATCGAAAGTGATTTTCATTTTTGTCATTATAACAGATATATGTTAATTAGCAGGAAATAAAAAAGAGCTAATGAGCCATGAAGAAGGAAAAAACTCAATAATGAGATAAAGAGAAGATGATATTAAAAATAGTTGACTGAAAATGAAGATATATGTACTTATAAGAGTATTCAAGATAATGAAAGAAAAAACTTGCAACGTAAACTATATCAAAATGAAGAAGACAATGAATGAATATAAAATGTGCTGAAAAGAAGGGAAATTATCAGAACAAAAAAATTGGATCATATTTCTTCTTCCTCTTGTACCATTTTACAAAACACAAAAACAACTCCCCCCGGTAATTATTTATATTATCAATTCATATTACTATTACAATATATTGATTTAAATTAAATTTTCTATAGAACCTATTATCGTGTATAACATTCATTTTACGTGAATAGATACACTTTGAAATAAAACCGATATTTTACATAATTAAATGAGAACATCGTTTCATGTATAGATGAGAATCATTTATTTTAATATATCAGTTGTAGAGTATTAATAAAAACCGCTGTGACAATTAGGACAGAAAACAAATTGTAAAATGTTTCTTTGAATGGAAAGAAAATTATGTATTTTAAAAAAAGAGGAGAATGCATCACTTTTTGAATACAGGTGTTTTATGTCAGGAGAGTGTAATGATTTATAAATCTAGGCGGCGCGCATGTCTACTATACCTAATCAAGATTTATTGAGTTAGATTTATGATTGCTCGATTTAAATTGCAGTGAGCATGTATTCTGACACATTAATGCGAGACATGCAAGAATTCCACAATGACGTAGTTAATTTGACATTGATGCGACCAATATCAGAGGAACTTGAATTGAAGATTATTTTTCAAATCTTTCAATAAAAATCTAATTAGGTGTATTAATTTATTTGTTCGCAGTATTTTTTTGCGCCTTGAAATATTCATGGAAATTTCTCACTATCGATTTTATGGGAGTGGTCAGTTTATCCCCCTAATGTATAAAAGGTGCCACCCTCGCCAAATTCGTCAGTCCAGAAGTCACCACCGAATCAATTACCAGTGTTCTTCGTGTCAGTCCAGCAACCGCCACCAAATTAACTAGTTGTGATCTGTCATCGAGTTTGTTCTTCGACTCCAGTCTAGAAAATCTCTTCAAGACTCATTCTTCGAGTCTCGTCTTAGTCAAATTCATTCAAGGAGATAATTTCTACTACGAGGCACATTTCTATTTTTCTAAGAACTGCATTACGACGACATCAGAGTCAAATCAATAATACTGTCCCTCCTAGGCTGA